CAGGCAATCCGTCTGCTCGTTTGCCGATCTATCACATAAAAAGTCAATACTTTCGTTAATATTAAAACTACATAATAATATAATGGTTTGATTAAAATAATGCTTCAGTAAATGTGTCTCTTTTATTCCCCTCAAATGTAACTTTAAGGAGTAAGCAATAAACTGTTCAGAATTCTCTGGAACTTTCTTCTTCTTGGATCTCTTTCTTCTTTGGGTAATAAAGGCTTGATTAATGTAATATTTATTTATTTCATTGAACATGTTTTACTGGTATCATCAAATCATCTATTTTATCTATACTCTATACTAATATTGTAAAGAGGAAAAATTTGTAAGTTTGTATGTAAGGGTTAATCTTCGGAACCGCTGGTCGAATTGCCAAAATTCTTTCACTTACAGATAGCTACAATATTCCTGAGTGCTATAGGCTATAAAACATCACGCTACGATCAAATGTAACTGAGCAACGGGTGACACCGCGCGAGAGTAGCTAGTTCACAATAAGTCCAATGATGTCGTAAAAGTGAATAAGTATACAACTCAACGCCCATACATTGAGTTGTATAAACACACAGACGAATGTATTTATGTCTAGGTACCTCATACATTCCATTCTTCAATACGTAAAACGGGGTGAATGGAATTCAATGGGTTAATAGATTAAGTGTGGGAGAGCCAAGCTACGGCACGAATGGGTCGGCTCGACCGGATCGATACCACGGCCTCACAGAATACCGACGTGAAACACGCCTGAGTGAGGTTACCGGAGGCCCAATCCCTCCCCTTCTCCTATCCCTTCCCGTTCCTTTTATCCGCAACCCCTATCCCCAAAAGGCCGGCAACGCACTCGTAACTCATTTGGTGTTGCGGGTGTCCATGGGCGGCGCTGATTGCTTACCATCAGGTAATCCGTCTGCTCGTTTGCCGACTTATACCATAAAAAAAGACACAGGAGAGGGGTGAATAGATATATACTAGGAAAATTCGCCAACATCTATTCCCTCCTCAAATTGTATTTACCCCGTTTCACCGTTACCCTGTGTAAATTTCAATGAGACTTTCAAGAAAACTTTTTTTACTGTCCCTTCAACCTTTGGCATTGATAACGTTAGTAGAATGAAATATGTCCAGTATCTCAGTATCAGTTTATGAGCAAAGGCCTCTTCTCACACGGAAAAGGTTTGAGCATTAACCACCACGTTCGCTCAAGGCGGATTGGCGATTTCAAAGTTATAATTAGAAATTGAAGTCCAAGTTACCTCTGATGTTTGAATACTTGTTAAAGAAATTTTATGTTTTATGTCTAAAAAGTTAAAATTAGAAATCCAACGAGTAAGTAAAAAGGTTTCTCAATATATCTCTCACTAGCTACTCTCGACTCCATTTAACCGTAGCGTGATGTTTTATAGCCTATAGCACTCAGGAACATTGTAGCTATCTATCAGTGAAAGAATTTTGGAAATTCGACCAGCGGTTCCAAAGATTACCCCCCTACATACAAACTTACAAATTTTACCTCTTTATAATATTAATGTAAACGTATCAATTCGTGTTGTCAGACATGTTAGTGGTTCAATAATGTGCTCCCTTTTTTTCCATTTGTTCGCTGGCGATGTCTTTTTGGTGTTAAGCTTCTTTATTTCACGTTAGAGCATCTCTGAGGATAGGAGCTGCAGTATATTTCTTTCCATGACCGATGATGCGGATATTTATCTGTAAAATTAAAATAATAATAGTTAATTAAAAGTCAACACCACGTGTGGGAGAGCCATGCTTTGGCACGAATAGGTCGGCTCGACCGGAGTGATAAAACGGCCTCTCAGAAAAGCGGCGTGAAGCATCACTTACGTTTTTTTATATTGTTCATATTTGTTGCTATAAAAAACAAAAGTCGATTTCTCTGTCCCTAGATCCCTATGTATCCTTAAATCTATAAAACTACGCGAACGACTGGTTTGAGAGGAAGGTTTATATCTATAATGACATCTATTAAATGATGGAGAAATTTAGTATTAGCATTGCATCCATGCGAAGACGGGACGGGTCACCCTGTCTTACCTTTTTTTTATGGAATAGGTCGGCAAACGAACAGATGGATTACCCGATGGTAAGTAATCAGCGCCGCCCATGGACACCCGCAACGGAGGAGTTACGAGTGCATTGCCAACCTTTTAGGGATTAGGGTTTTGGAGATTTAGGGATTGGGAGGGATCAGGGGAGGGGAAGGGTTGGGCCTCCGGTAACCTCACTCACACGGCGAAACACAACGCTGTGGTTGTTTCACGTCGGTATTCGGTGAGGCCGTGGTATCACTCCGGTCGAACCGACCCATTAGTGCCGAAGCTTGGCTCTCCCACACTTCTTACATTTATTATATTCTATTTGTTTAACTAAGCATTGCAACTAGCTAATTGCTTATATTACCATTTGGGCTAGGGACAATGTTTGCTAAACATCGATCACCAATAAACATCGATCACTAAGAAAGTTCTTTATTAGTGATCGATGTTGCTAAATAAAATAATAGCCTAACTAAAAATCGCGTGTTACTCACGTTTGTAATTGAGAAAAGCTCTACTAGTTTCGAACCACAGAGGGGTTCTTCCTCATGAGCATCGTGCGCGGACGCGGCGACGTCGCGCAGCCTACTCTCTCTGTGGTTCGAAACTATTAGAGCTTTTCTCAATTTATACACGTGAGTAACCCGCGATTTTTAGTTAATTTAGTATGTCTCACGATTGTTATTATAAAAATAATAGCCGTGTATAAAGATAGGCAAAAACTTACCTTGTGGCTGATTCATATAAACTTGAGCCGAGCAAATTGTGAAACATATGAACAGAAACCAAATTATCTTCATGATGACTGGACCCAGTAACCACAACCGTCGATGGTGACGAAAATGTCTCTAGTGATTTATATTCAACAAGTTGCCATAATATATCTCATTGGAAAATAGGAAATATGATTCATTTTCGCAAAGCATGCTGTTATTATTCGTGATGGACTCAAGTGGGCAGGAAACTTTTGTAGTTCTTGTGTATATAAAGGTGCGTATAGGCTATGCAGCGAGCAAGAATACGGTAGTTTCCAACTATTTAAATTCAATACTTTTATCCAAATGTCAAAAACGATACTTTTCTATGGAATTGGTATGAAATACTGAGTTATGACCTCATAGGATGTTTAGGTCAAATAGCTTACTGTTTTCTTAAAAATAAGCTTTGAAATCCGAACAGCGGTTCCAACATAACTCCCTACATAGAAACTCAGGAACATTGTAGCTATCTATCAGTAAAAGAATTTTGACAATCCGACCAGCGGTTCCAAAGATTACCCCCTACATATAAACTTACAAATTTTACCTCTTTATAATATTAGAATATAGATATGCCGTTTCTGTTCCATATTGTCTGCGGTCAAACATATATAGGTACCGTAAGTTCAGGTTACTTTGACCCTGGGAGGTAACTTTGATCCAAATTTTCGAACCAATGAAAAACGAATATATGTTTGATTCTCAGTTATTATTGGTTAAAGGGTTTGCATCAAAGTTACCCTGCCGGCTCAAAGTAACCCGAACTTACCCGGTACTATGAAAGCTGGTTGCATTATGCGATCGACCGGTTTTCATCAATCAGAACGGACCAAGATTGAACGGCTATTCAGTATATTGTCCTCTTTAGTTTTCAACAGTTCGACATTAGATAAAAACTATTGTTTCATATTTGTTTCTCGCATATTTTGTTTATAGTCACATTTAATTAAAGCTAGTTTTCCTCCATCTAATGTAACCTTAATTATGAACGGATAATACCATTCTACAAATTTTCTATAATGTTTAAGGAAAACCAATGTTTATTAAAAGACGCTATGGCACACAGTATCGGGAAAACATAATTAATATGTTATTTTTTTAAACCGCATGTTTGTTATAGTCCTTGCAAAAAAATCTTGACTTGTTAAAAAGAGTAACGATGGAGTTTCTTACCGTTCTTCTCCATTCGAATCTTCACCGCACGGTTGGCGCCGTGGCTGGGCAACTGGCTGCCGTGCAACGTGTGGCGGTCTCGATTCACACACGGAACAACTCTTTGTGTGATCCACAAATTGTTGATCCGGGTCTGGATGTGATGTGTCTGGGCCACCACGGCGTAATATTGTAAGCAAAGTCTTACTCCAAGTCAGAATCATTTATATCAACTAAACCATAAACAGGTACTCTTGCTCCTCAAAATAGAAAAGAAGTCTGGCAGTCTGTTCGCCAGTGCAACTAAGTGCTCGTTCCAAATTGTAGACCGGCAAACGAGCAGACGGATTACCTGATGGTAAGCAATCAGAAGAGTTACGAGTGCGTTGCCGACTTTTTGAGGATTAGGGAATTTGGAGACTTAGGGATAGGGGGAGGGGAAGGATTGGGCCTCCGGTAACCTCACTCACACAGCGGAACACAACGCTCTAGTTGTTTCACGCGGGTTTTCTGTGAGGCCGTGGTATCACTCCGGTCAAGCCGACCCATTCGTGCCGAAGCATGGCTCTCCCACACTCATTTTACACTTTATCTATATCTAAATATATCTTATATATAAAAATGGATCGCAAAATGTGTTGGTAAGCGCATAACTCAACAACGCCTGGACCAATTTTGCTAATTCTTTTTTTGTTGTGTTTGTTATTGTCAGGAGAAGGTTCTTGTCAAAAAAAAAATAGAAATGTAGAGGGGAAGATTAGGAAAAAGTGACCCTTTGATAGCGAGATAGTCGGACCCGGCGAAGCGGGGGCGGGCCGCTAGTAATAATATAAAAATCAATGTTGTGATGTTATAACTTAACAATGCCTTTACCGATTTGGCTAAATTTGGTTTTGATCTATTCGTGGAAGTCCAGAGTAGGTTTAAAAGTCCAAAACAAATAGTCATATTTGAGGCGGTGCGGAGTTCGCCGGGTCAGCTAGTACAATTTAATTCTTTACTTAACCATGTACCCCTTTTTTGTCCCCAGTGTGATGTTGGCTTGGCAAACCTTCAACGCTCTCTTCGTGATTCGAGCAGTCAGCAAATATCTGGTGGAAATGGTACCAGAGTATGAGCTCTGCAGACATTTGGACTTCCAAGCTGAACGGAGAGTTGGCAATGGTCCCGTGGAATCCAGGGATGATAACACGGTGAGTTGGGCCACTTCATCATTCTATACAAAGTTTTTTTTAATTTACAATGTATGAACATGAATTTAAAGGTGGAAAATTTAACAGCAGGAAATTAAGTTTTGAAAGTATGTAACAAGTTTTAAACCATACGTCTTCAAAAACGACAAAATTGCAGTTCAACCGAACTGAAATTGTTTAAAAACAATTTACTTAAATAAACGTGAAAAAATTGAGACAAACAGAGACAAGCAGTGCTATTCTGTACATGGTAAATCTCATCTCGAAAATCACACCGCACTTCGCTTCTCATCTCGCCTGTAGTGCACAGACGTCAAAATACTAGTTCCTTTCACTCCGTTATTCACATGGTGGCGCCAATGTAGATTTCAATCCATTTGAGAATACGAAACTTTAAATTAACATGATTTCACCGCGGATTCAGCAGTGATTTCGCAAATTAACTTTTGAGAATAGCATAACTGCTCTACTGGTTTCGAGTCACACCGGGACTCTTACTGATGAGCAGTGTGCGCGTCGCGGCGATGTCGCGCAGCCAACTGCAGCGGCTTAAAACTAGTAGAGCTGTTCTCAGTTTGTTCACATGAATATGTCGTTCTTTTCAATAAATTTACTAGTCTTAGAGCTGATTTTCCAATAGCCAGATAAAAAAATGTTATCTGAGGAATAGAATTGTTGCTGTCACTGTCTTATTTAAACATTTTGACGCGACAGCATCATAATTATTCCGTAGGTAACTTTTATCTAACCATTGAAAAATCAGTCCATAATCAGAAATAGCACAGGCGTTTTACTGTGGAGGAAAACATCGAGAGAAAATCTGGACCTATAATTTCTAATTATAAGTTTGAAATGTGAGAAGAGGCCTTTGCTCAGCAGTGGACACTTATAAGCTGATGATGATGTCAATCGCTTTTTCTATTGTTCTCACAATGTTTAATATATAAAACCTACCATTTTTCACCTTACAGCCGTCACAAGAGACCTCGCCGTCACCGCTCGCTTCGCCAGCGACCCCAGAAGTCCCAGAAGGTCCGACTTCTCCCAAATTGACGGGGTCTGAGAGCCGTGTGGAGATGCTTATTGACGCACTAATAGGACTCATTATTGATGTTCCTGTTACGTGAGTATTTTAAAGTATCCTTGCTGAGCTTTTTTTTTATTTTTTATTGATTATAGGTTCGCGCTTGACCGCTATCTCACCTGATGGAAAGCGACGATGCGGTCGACGATGGAGCGCGCTTGCCTAGAAGTAACCTATTCACTCTTGACTTAAAGATACCCAGATTGTAACTGTCAGGAAACACCGACTCCGGCAAGCAGCTCCGGCAGCTCAAGACAATACATATATCAAATCGGTCCTTATCCTCAGATTTTGTATCAAGTTGTTTTTTTTATGAATTTGGTCGGCAAACAAGCCGACGAATTACCTGATGGTAAGCAATCAACGCCGCTCATGAACATCCTCAACACCAAAGGAGTTACTAGTTAGTGCATTACCGACCTTTTGGGATAAATGTTTTTTGTTAAATAGATAGAATGATTATATATAAAAAACAAACGGCAGGCCCTGTACCGCATAATTGTTGTAATGTTATGTATTAAAAAAATTCCACTTATTAAGGCAGCTAAGTTTTTATTTTTTAGGTAATTGTTATATTTCTAGAAGCTGGGATTAATTAGAAATATCAATCAAAAGATTAGAATAATAAACGCACTAAAATCCAAAGCTAAGCTAAGCGTAGTCATGTTTTGAGAAGTTGCCATTGTAAATTAAGACAAATATCGGAGTTATAAACAATTATTTAGAAACGGGAATAACAAGTAAAATATTTAAAGACCTATAAATATAACCTAACCTAACCTATAGTATATTTTTAACATACCTGTACTCTAAATCCAACTAAAACTTCATTATTGAGTGACTGGAATTGAGTATATGGAAGCAAACTGGCGTTACAAAGATGCCCTTGCGTGTTTGGTTTTTATAGTCGTTGATGTAAACAACGCGCCATCATTTCGGTGGTTGCGAAGACGCATCTCTCGCTACCATACAAACGGCTAGAACACTAGCCATAACCTTTAAAAAAACTGCATATAACTCTCATGTCCAATTTTTAAAAATCCAAGATTTTAAATAGGACTTGTTTATCTTATTAACTACCAATTAAACCAAAGAGTAATCCAAAACATGAACAATTATAAGCGGTACAGAACTGCCATATAAACCTGCCGTTCGCCTTTATTAAATAACGGGGAAATTTAGTACCAGCATTGGAACAGTCGGGGCTGCGGGGTAAGCGCAATGAGGTACCGCGACCTCCACCTAAAGCAGGAGGTGAAACGAGGGGTTTTTAGTCAGTAAGAGTCTGACACTATCTTCCTCCCCACTCTAGGTGAAAAAAATCATTTGATGACCTCACAAAAATAAGTATAAGGGTACAATACTTATTTTTGTGAGGTCATCAAATGAAGAAGAGATGCGAAGTCGGGGCGAAATAAAATTTATTATTATGTTTCAGAGACAACACATACTATCTACATTTGGAGTGCATCAATACTATGTTGGTGCTTATGTCTGTGTATATGTTTGCTGGCGTTCACGGACAGACACGATTGGTCGACACTTCACTTATATACAGGTATGTATCGCCAATAACGCATATTACCTGATGGTAGGCAATCCGCCGCTCATGGAAATCTGATATTATCCGAGACCATAAAAAGCTGGTACGCCAACTTCTCCAAACATTCCTGACGCACTGCAGAATCGTGGCAGACCCAACATCATTCTGAAGGGATTTTTATACTGAACACGCAGAGCATTGTACGCGCCCTGTGTATTATTATAATAATATAGTGTATAGGTAATAATACCGTACGTGTACGAACCGTAGTGTATAATTTTAATAATACCAGTGTTGACACACGTCACTTTATGTTTTCTAGTTTCTACTTCTTGTTTCTTTTTGTCCCTTTTTGAGCTTTTTTAATATTTAATACTTGTGATTTTGCAGTATGCACATATTGTTACGTTACTATCTAGATCAAAACCTTTAGTTTTTAAGTTGAATATTTGATTGTAATGTGTTTTGTGCATGAAATAAATAAATAAAATAAAATAAAGTACGCTTATATCCCCAATTGATTTCACACCAGTCATCTTGACATTACATTTGACACAGAAAAAGATCCGTGTGAATGTGAACTTTATTATGTATTGCGGGTCCATGTACTCAACAATTGGGTAGTGTCCTAGGTCAAAAATAAATTAATTCGATGTTTCAATACAATAAAATATTGAAAAATAACTATATACTTTTATTCATCGATCGATCGATACTCCAAGTTTTAGATTTTTTTTAGCTAATTATTGTGAAATAAGTAAGCGATTTGACGCAAAAATGTTATGACGTCATAGCTCAGTTTTTCATACAAATCTCATAAAAAAGTATCGTTTTTGACGTTTGGATAAAAGTATTGAATTTGACTAGTTGGAAACTACCGTATTTATTTAGTCAATTAGACCCTTACAGGCACTTTCGAACGTCAAACAAAATTTTGAAGATATAGTGTCAGTCTGTCGGTCGGTCCTCTTAGTGAAGCTATTTGCTCGTTCCAAAGTCTAGATTCCGATGGAGAAGAACGAGCAAGAAACTCCATGGTTACTCTTTTTAAATCAGTTTCACATACAGATTACTTTTACAAAGAGTTAGATCAATTATGTAAACAGAACGTTCCAGATTTGTATTTTTCATCTTTTTCTTTCAGAACCCTCTTCCAAGGTCGCTACGGTATGCACGCTCCCCTCCTCGTCAAGACCTTGCTGAACAACCTGTCCAGCATGCTGGCGGCCCCCCCAAGCATGTTTGGAGCTCATGCAGGTGGAGGGAGCCTGCTCATCAACTTGGCTTGTGAGTATCAATCTTTACTCTTACCGATTGCTTGCCATCAGATAGGATTACCTGATGTTAAGCAATCGGCGCTGCCGTGGACACCCGCAACTCCAGATCTGTTGCAAGTGCGTTACCCCCTCTTTGTGAATAAGGAGTGTGGAGATTAATGAATTGGGAAGGGAAAAGTCACCGGTAACCACACTCACACGGCGAAACATAACGCTGTGGTTGTTTTACGCCCGTTTTTTGTGATGCAGTGGTATCACTCCGGTCGAGCGTGCCATGCGTGTAAAAACAAGGTTCTTCCACACTTAGATTTTTGTTACAAGTTTGATAGCATATTTATAGCCTTTCTCCATAAACTGGTAATACAATACAAAAATATTTTTTCAATTTCAACATGTTTTTGCCGGGGTTAGTGCGTTTAACTAAAAACACGGACAGAAGTTCGCTCGGAGTATCTGCTTTTTGCTACAGCTACACCCATTTTGGTCTGGATAATTCCTTTTTTAATTATATAGGTTGGCAAACGAGCTGACGGCTTACCTGATGGTAAGCAATCAGCGTCGCCCATGGACACCCGCAACAACGGATGAGTTACGAGTGCGGTGCTGGCCTTTTGGGGATGAGGGTTCCGGATATAAAAGGATTGGCTAGGGATGGGGGAAGAAGAATGGAAAGGTTTCCGGTAACCTCACTCACACGGCGAAACACAACGCTGTGGTTGTTTCACGCCCGTTGTTTGTGATGCAGTGGTATCACTCCGGTCGAGCCGACCCATTCGTGCCGAAGCCTCGCTTTCCCACACTTATAATATTATAAATTATTTATCGCACAGAAATTGAATGATTCGACACATCTTAAACGCATAGATATACATACATTTAATTTTATGAGTAATACTGGAAACTTATGTATTGTAAATTTTTGTATATATTGACTTGAACATATTGTAAATCATCCAATTATTTTGTAAACATGTTTTTGCAATTTAATAACAGAAAATTCTTAAGACAATAATAATTTTAACAATAATATTATGTATTTTCCTCAGTACAAAATAATATATTTCGATAGCTAGTAGTTAGGATACAATAAAATAATAGTATAAGTAAAATAGTCCTATGCTTTTATGTTTATTGACTTCACAGAATACTGCATTAATTTTTTTATAGCAAATTATTAAGAGTCAAAGTAAAAGTCATTTATTCCAATTAAACCATAAATAGGTACTTTTGAAACGTCAAAATAGAAAAGTAGTCTGTCAGTCTGTTCGTCAGTGAAGCTAGGTGCTCGTTCCAAATTGTAGATTCGAATGGAGAAGAACGAGCAAGAAACTCCACCGTTATTCTTTAAAAAAAAAATGTTTTACAATTTCAATAATATAACATTTACTTTACAATATTGTACCCTTATGTGAGAACAATGCAGAGACAAGTTGTAAAAAAAAGAACAAATGATGGGATGGGAAGAAATTCGTATACTTATCACGTTCAAAACCCATAGATTTTTAAGTGTGGGAAAGCCATGCTTCGGCACGAATGGTTCGGCTCGACCGGAGTGATACCGCGGCCAGTGTGCCTAGCACGAACATTATCGAGAAAGTATTCGTATCGAGATCGAAAGCATTTTCTATGGGATTTGTACAGCGCCCCTACCGTGCGTAAAAGGAACTAAAAATCGCAAGCACGAATGATTTTGACAACTATCGTATAGTAATCGTATCGTGTTGCTATCGAAACTTAGAACATTTTGACACAAATTGGAAGCACGAACGATCTTTTGACGTGTAGTAACGTAAGTTTCGAAGGCTGGCTATCGAAAACTGTCGAAACATTTGTCACTAAGAATTTGACGGTGAGAAAGGTTTCGAAATATTTCAATCGTGTTTTAAATAATATATTATAAGGTTTGTGAGTATTCTTTACGAGTATAACATCATGTAAAACCGCCGCTGTACGAACCAAGTTGGAGAAATAGTTTATTTGTGGCTATTTTACTTGGAGATGAAGAGTCAAGAGAAACTTCGTAAGTACCTAAGTACCTACCTATTCAAGTTATGTTTCACTTAATATAGACATATGTATTCAAGAAAATAATACGAATTAACTGATTATTCTAAAGAAATCGTGTGCCGAGCTAAATTCAGAAAGATATCTAATCCAATGGATATCACTGAAACGTAGCCTAAATAAAGAAGCCTTCAAGTACTTCTGTGAGCAACTCCAACAAAAAACTCACCTTATAATGCTAAAATGAAATCAATAGGAGTCGAGCAGCGGGTGAAACCGCGAGAAAGTAGCTAGTATAAATTAGGTTTTCTAATAAGTATTTTTTTACAGGTGATTCTGGCTACCCACACCGACCATGGCTAATGACGCCTACTCATTTTGGATGCGGTAGAGGGGACTCCGGGCCACAATATACTGCGGTAAAAGAAGAAGAGGTGATGCTTGTGCAAAGACCGCACTCTGAATTATGCTCCTGAAAAATGTGCTTGACAACGGCTTGCTGCGTGTTGCATAATTTGGTCATAAATTTCAATGTGCCTGAGCCACAGGTAGATACAACAACAGCCGAACATCAAGACTTGTCTCATACCTCATCTTCTGATATGAGACATGAAAATGATAGAAGCGATGATTTGATAAGTGAAAGGGCTTTAAGTAATATTCTGGTACAGCAAATAAATATACTACATAGATGACCCAAGTGTTTTATTATTATACATTTCCAAAACATCTTACACACTAATCTAACTTAAAAACTATTCTTACCTATGTTTTTATAATAGGTAACTATAGTGAGACATTTTAAATTCAATACTAACATAATCTTTCCTCATTCCAAAATGTAGTAATATACATTAAAATTAAAATAAAATATGTAAATATACATTAATCATCTTTTTAACTAGATTATATTTTAATACATTTATTGCCTCTCTCATAAGTTCCAGCCACTGAGCCTGTAAAAGGAGCTCTGCGTCTCTCTGTCTTACTCTTCATTCTTCTCGTCGTAATTCCAAACGCTCTTGTTCCATTATATCATATGTTTCCTCACGCTCCCTAGCAAACTCCCTAGGTTTCTTATCATTCTCTAAACACAATTTGATTAAACTCCCTTTACATTTTTGTTTTCGGTCGAGGCTTCCAGCATTCCTTTTCTTATGGAGGATTGGCGACTGGTGGTGTCGATGAACGGCTGGCTTCATGGGTACTGCGGAGTGGTCGAAACACTGAAGGCTCGTTGCTTGTCACTGGCATATTCCATGAAATCCACCATTAATTCGTATTGGAGCCGAGTCCTCCTCATTTTAAAACAAATTTAAAGTAACCGCATAATAAGATAGCCGCATAATTACCTATCTACATTCTTTGTTTTGTTTGTTAAAAAAATACGTCAATAGCCGTCAAATGTCACCTTTGTCAAAAGAACGTTCGGAAATCGTAAATTAGGTTACAAAATTTAAATAACCAAATAATATTTTTTTCAAAGATAAAGTCATTTTATATACTTCTTGACTCGTTTTAAGAATTCTTTCACGTAATATATATTTTTTCACTTAAATATAATACCATAAAAGGTGTAGACGAAGGTTGAAATATGTTTAAAATTAATTTTAGTTTTCAGACGAAATCTTTATGTTAAATTATGTTCAAGAATTCATTCAATTCGTTCACTTGGGTGCTTCTCTAGCTTACATTAGCATGACGTCACTAACGAATTCGATTCGAGCTCTCGCTAGACGATACGATAGGCTTCGTGCTGCGACATTCCGTTTTCGTCACATGAAGTATCGACGTCTCGATACGTTAACGTTACGATTACGATAGTCATTCGTGCTAGGCACTCTGAAATAATCACAGCGTTGAGTTTCGCCGTGTAAGTAAGGTTACCGGAGGCCCAATCCTTCCCCTTCCCTATCCTTGAATCCTCAAAACCTCTTATCCCCATAATACCGCCACGAACTTGCATCTCTGTTGTGGCTTGTGTCCAGGGATGGCATCGATTGCTTACCATCAGGTAAGCAATCGATGCAATTCTGTTCATTTGCCTAACATTTTGAAGTAACATTTCCAAACTCTGTAGTCTGGGAAATAATCTTTAAATTTATTATGCCAATAAATTGAATATTTCCTTCGATGCCACGACTCTGCGTCTTTTTATATTGGCAATGCCCTTTGCTGAGCAAAGGCATCTTCTCACACGGAAAAGGTTTGAGCATTACGCCACGCTCGCTCAAGGCGGATTGGCGATTTCAAACTTATTATTACAAATGATAAGTCCGCGTTTCCTCAGGATGTATTCCTTCATCTTAAAATCACCAATAATCATAGAAAGTATGTATACCTTGAAAAAAGCCACTTGCCTAGCTCATGCAAGAAAATCGGGCGCCTAAACCTCCAGACCACATCGACCTTAATTATTTTATACTAATAATTAATTTAAAAAAAAATCTCTTTTCAGCTGGCTTATGGAACATGATAACCTTCAACTCGACGGCGCGTCAGACCATATACACTCACCCCCCACTCGACAGACAAGAGTTACAAGAAAGAGTTAAAAAAGAACATCCTGTAGCGAACCAGTCGTGTCTTCTTCTCCTTACGTTAGCCAATCATTGTATGAACGATGATAATTTATATAGAAACGCTTTGCTGTGCTGCGAAGATACTGCAGGTAAGGAAATTATTATGTTTCCTTAAAATATTATAGATATACTATATATCAAAATTTGGGAGCAGGTATAGTAACTAAAACTATCGTGAGACATACTACATTTTTTTATTAAGAATTCATCTCAGCTTTTTTTGTATTATTTAATAGGTCGGCAAACGAGCAGACGGATTACCTGATGGTAAGCAATCAGCGCCGCCCATGGACACTCGCAACGGAGGAGTTACGAGTACGTTGCCGACCTTTTAGGGATTAGGGATTTGGAGATTTAGGGATTACAGCTCATAAATAAGAGTCCCGTTATGACTTAAAACTAGTAGAGCTTTTCTTTTTTCTTATTTTCAATAACTTTAGGATGTGCATAATTATGTATGTTCGTTTGTTTGTTGTGTACGCAAAAACTGTTGAACGTATCAGTTCAACATTTGACATTGATTGTTGGTGATACGCAGAGGTGGTAAAGATATGTAGAAAAAATATCTGACTATAAATATATGTAGGTAGTTATTTATTATGTTTTCGGCTTACTCACGTAATAATTTGACGAGATACTCGACTAGTTTCAAGCCATGCTAGAGGCCCATATTCATGAGCAGCATTCCGCGACACGCGACTCGGCGACCGTCGCGCTGCTACATAATAAATAATTTAGAATGTCTCACGAAAGTTATAATAAAAATATATGTAGGTAGGTTCGTATATTGGAATACTACCTTCACCTGCGGCTTTGCCTGTGTTGTATATTGATAAATGAAAGTTTGAGAGCTTGTATGTATGTTCGTTTGTCCTAAGTTAGTGTGTGTGTATAGTGTAGTTCCATACGCTACTAGCTATTCTCGCGCGGTTTCTCCGCTCCATTAAATCGTAGCGTGATGTTACATAGCCTATAGCACTCAGGAACATTGTAGCTATCTATCAGTGAAAGAATTTTGGCATTCCGACCAGAGCGGTTCTTAAGATTACCCCCTACATACAAACTTACAAATTTTACCTCTTTATAATTTAGTATAGACAACTGGTGAATGGATCTGAACAACATTTAGCGCTCTTGATTGTTGCTGATAGGTACTTAGATATGGTAGAAATTAAATAGCTAACTATAAATATAGGTAGGTAGGTTCGTATATTGGAATACTAGCTTCTGCCCGCGGCTTTGACCGCGTGGTATGTTGATAAAAAGGCGTCTATGTCGTCGCTAGTAATTTATAAATGATTATTTATTTCAGAAACTTCAGCACCTACACCACAGCGAGAATCGAATGGTGGATCACAGGTGACACCGCCGAGAATTGACATGGCCGCTGTAATTATACATAACTTTTTTTAAATATTTTATTTGACGTTTCTTTATTTGTCTTAATGGCCATTTCTAGAAGCAATATGTGTCACATACAAGTGATATTTTTATTTATGGGATATAGGTCGGCTAACGAGCCAATGGATTACTTGATGGTAAGCAATCGGCGCCGCCCATGGACACTCGCAACACTAAATGGGTTACGAGTGGGGGGGGCCTTTTGATGATAAGAGTTTCGGATATTTAAGGATTGGACCTCCGGTAACCTCACTCACACGGCGAAACACAACGCTGTGGTTGTTTCACGCCGGTTTTCTGTGAGGCCGTGGTAATACACCGGTCAAGCCCACCCATTCGCGATTTTTTTTTTGTGAGGGGAAAATCATCAAATGACTTCTCCCGCCCAGGGCCGGGCAGGAGGGAGTTTCAGACTCTTACTGACTAAAAACCCCCCTGTTCCTTCTCCTGCTCTATGCCGAGGTCGCGGTGCCTCATTGCGCTTACCCCGCAACCCCGGCTGAACATCAGCCCTATAGGGCCCCGTCTGTGGTGGACCCATTCGCGCTGAAGTATGGCTTTCCCACACTTATTTGTAATTTTATTCTTTTATTTCAGTTACACCGCGCCCTATGCGCGACGGCAGGCTGCGAGCACTGTACGCTACTCCTGTACTTACTGCTGCACTCGTGCGCAGCGTACAAGCGGCACGTCGCCAATGTGGCCCAGCTTGATTTACTCGTGAGTACAACTTTTACTGCACGGTTGGCGCCGTGGCTGGGCAACGGCGGGTCGGATTCCGGCACGGGAATTGTTGTTCCGAGTCTTTTTTGTGAGGGGAAAATCATCAAATGACCTCTTCCGTCCAGGGAAGGCGAGAGAGAGTGTCAGACTCCTACTGACTAAAACCCCCCGTTCCTTTTCCTGCTCTGAGCTGAGGTCGCAGTGCCTCATTGCGTTTACCCCGCAACCCTGACTGAACAATGTTTGTGGTCTGGGTGTGATGTGAATGTGAACTCGTATATTTGTAAACACACTCACGACACAGGAGGAAATACTAGTGTGGGGCAACGATAAAAATACAACATTTATTTAAATATGATTCGGTTTTAATAAATGACTGTTATTCTATCTTCAGTGTTGTTTTAAGCCCTGGGTTGCGGGTCTACCGCAATAGAGTACTGTGGAAGGATCACGGTGGTTTTTAGTCAGTAAGAGTCTGACACTCACATTCAGGATGAGGGAAATCAGTTCCTCCCAAAAGGTTTGGCATAGACACGTAGATCTAAGTAAAACATTGTATTTTATCTTGTGTGGTATATGCTGGCAGACGATATGTTAATATTTTAAGAAATATGGTAGGATACCTCAGTTTTATGGCTACTAATAGAAAAATCACCCGAGCTAATAATGCTGCTTGGAAAACGGCAGCCTTAGGGTCCGAGTGGAAAAGACATTGCACCGTCTTTCTTCACTTAGGCACTTGTCGAATAACTATGCAAGTGTTATCCTATGCCGGTTTTCAATAACGCCATGCGATCACGCCGGGAGAGCTGGTCTATTATTTCCGAAGAATTCGTCTCCTACTTGAAAAGAAAACACTTTTAAAAATAAAAATAAAATAAAAACATTACTGCCATTAAGCAACGAACTAATTTGACTCTTATTATACTTTAGTAAAGTTATAGAATCTTGATCTCTATGCTAATGTAAATATTACCTAAATTCGCAGATAGTTCCAATCCTGCAAGTATTGTACAACGCCCCGGAGAACAACAACCACCATATCTACATGTCCCTGATAGTCCTGCTTATACTGACTGAAGATGATGCCCTCATTAAGAATGTGCATCTCATTGTAAGTATTGTGTTTTCTTTTTATATAGGGTGGTTACTCTTCCATCATAATTATCAACAGCAAGTAAAATACTACTTCTGAAGTATATGCCTCATCTATATATATATATATATGTCATTCCTTTATTTATTTTTCAATTTACAATATATTTAGTAGAAATTGAAATAATTACATATAGATGTATCCAAAATTATGTACAACATGAGATCAGATTTAATTAAATGGTTGAAATACAACATTATTAAATAGCTATTTCAAAAACTACTGAAGCTATAATCTTTGCGCATGGCAGGGTTCTAAAGAAAGAAAAATACTTTATTTCACGCTAAAAAACAAGTGACATGTACGTACAGATAATTAAGACATTATGTTAGTAATAATATTAATGGATACATGTTCATGTCCCAAGTCTCCCGTGAAATGGTACTTATAATATCTCCCGTCAATAAGGTACTGCGGCCTCGTCCTTGAGCAGAAGAAGGAACAAGGGGTTTTTAGTCAGTAAGAGTCCCTCTCGCCATAGCTTGGACGAGAATGGACATTGTAAATTTCCTCAAAAAATAATAAGGTCGTAGTCAAACCTTACATATATCTTACCTAGTACCTACCGTAGCACTTTGAAAACGTGTGACTACGCCTTTCAGTATTCTAGATTGGAGTTTAAATAAAGTTTTATTGGTCGATTCCGGAGGTCTTGATTCTGATTCCCAGTGCGCACGAAGTAAACATTATTGGAATTTTTCTTACACGAGAGGCGATCTCCGGCCACTATGCATACAGTTTTGCGTGCGTCTCAGGGAGTCGATAGACCACCACAGATGGGACACAACAGGGCCGATGATTATCGGGGTTTTTGTGTCCAGGCCTCGGCCTGGAGCGGGAGAAGGAACTAGAGGTTTTTAGTCAGTAAGAATCTGAGACTCTCGCCATATCCTGGAAGAGAGAAGACAATAATGATATCCTCAAAAAAGAAGAGTAGAGCCTATTGGCATCGGTCATAATTCCAGACTCTGCTATAACGTTTTAATTTTAATAAATGATGATATTTTGATTTGTTAATTTTCAGATGCTTAAAAACTTGACTTGGTACACGGAACGCGCGATTTCGGAGATATCCCTTGGCGGTCTGATGGTCCTAGTGGTACTGCGAGCGCTTCATTACAACATGGTGCGCGTCCGGGACAAGTATCTGCATACCAACTGTCTCGCTGCCATCGCTAATATGAGTTGTACGTATTTACTGTTATTTTTAGATTACTAGTTTCCGTCCGCGGCTTTGCCTGCTTGGTAGTGTGTTGAAAAGCAAAATCCTAATGTGTTAATCCAGGGTATCACCTATCTACATACCTAATTTCAACCAAATCTGTTCAGCCGTTTATGCGTAAATCAATAAATTCTCACAAACATTCACATTACTACATAATATAAAACAAAGTTGCTATCCGCCGTCTGTCTGTCCCTATGTATACTTGAATCTTTAAAACTACGCAACAGATTTTGATGCGGTTTTTTTTATAGAAAGAGTGATTAAAAAGAAGGCTTATAGGTACTTATAATAATAATAGTCCCATTTCACTTATATTAAAGTTTTTCACCGAGACTCGAGTTGGTTTCGGCCCCTCTTACGCCTTCCAAAGGTCCAGCATCCTGTGATCCCGTGAAAGGAAACATGAATTATATAGTGGAGAAATTAAGTACTTATTTTTTCTTAAAGGAATGTTGCCTCACACTAGCACTTTCTCCTGTATTGTGGTGTCGGGGAATTGAACCCTTGCGAAGCCATAGCGGATCGCTAGTTTTCATTAAATGTAGTATAAATCTAATGATAGATAATATTACAAAATATGTATGTGTTAATTTTTCAGGTGAATTCAGGAACTTACATCCATATGTAGCGCAGAGGCTAATATCTTTATTTGAAACTTTGACGAAACGAAGAGCGAGACTTTGCAGCGAAATCGAAGGTAAATACCACTTTATAACTTTTTTTTTTTTAATGTAATAAGTCGGTAAACGAGCAGACGGATTACCTGATGGTAAGCAATCAACGCCGCCCATGGACACCCGCAACGGAGGAGTTACGAGTGCGTTGCCGACCTTTTAGGGATTAGGGATTTGGAGATTTAGGGATTGGGGAAGGGTCCGGGAAGGGGAAGGATTGGGCCTCCGGTAACCTCACTCACACGGCGAAACACAACGCTGTGGTTGTTTCACGCCGGTTTTCTGTAAGGCCGTGGTATCACTCCGGTCGAGCCGACCCATTCGTGCCGAAGCATGGCTTTCCCACACTTCTGAACTGACAACCAAAACAATTAAAAACAAACAAACAAAAAAATTATAATTACGCAGCTTAGGGCTGATTTTTAGTCAGATAAATGTTATCTATACTAATATTATAAAGAGGTAAAATTTGTAAGTTTGTATGTAGGGGGTAATCTTTGGAACCGCTGGTCGGATTTCCAAAATTCTTTCACTGATAGATAGCTACAATGTTCCTGAGTGCTATAGGCTATAAAACATCACGCTACGACTAAATGGAGCTAAGCAGCGGGTGAAACCGCGCGGAAGTAGCTAGTCTGGGGAATAAAATTGTTGCTGTCACTGTCTTATACAAACATTATGACTTGACAGCATCATAATTATTCCGTAGATAACTTTTTTCTAACCATTGAAAAATCAGCCCTTAAAAAACTACTTATAAGAACAGAAAATTTCAGTTTTCTTCTTGGTTCGTTTCGACTGCATTCTACCAGTTTCAAGAATAGATACAGTAGGGTCGCCCTATCTTGGCGAGTCTGAAGTTAGCCGTTTGTCCGCGCAATGCATCTTTTAAGAACAAAATTGTGTACTGTGCAGCTAATCGGCTCACTTCAGACTCGCCAATATACGGCGGCCGTATTGTAAATGTTTTCTACATACTCTTTTTAGTAATGCACTGAGTTTCTGCTAAGTCATTTATTGATGTAGAATAAAAAATGCCTTATTACATTTTTTTATGGGTAGATTGGCAATACAACATACGGATTACCTGATGGTAAGCAATCCACTCCTGATCTCTCGCGCCCCGCCATAGTCGAGGCCTTAGTGCGAAGTGAGAGGAACTGGGAAGCCGTCTCCTCCTTCTGTGAAGCAGTTATGCTCGCAAAGAAGGAGGCGGCCCGCGTGAGGGAGCAATCCTCCTCCTCACGCCTTCAGCCGCCGCCCAGCCCTGGGCGGGAGAAGTCATTTGACGATTTTCCTTTCACAAAAAAAAGCAATCCACTCCAACTATGGATACCGGCAACGTTGAGGAGTTGAAGGTGCTTTGGAGGCCTTTTGTGGTTTAGGGATTTGAGGGTTGGAGACAGATGGAAAGGGAAATTGGGTTTCTGGTAAACCCACCCACGATCCTGTCCGCTTGGACCTGCTTGGTTATTTTGTTTTTTTTTTTTAAACGTTGTCCCACATTATGATTTTCTCCTGTGTCGTGGGTGCGTTTACAAACATACAATTCCACATGCACATCACTCCCAGACCCGGAACAACAATTTCTGGATCACACAAAGAGTTGTTCCGTGCAGGAATCGAACCCGCGACACGTTGCACGGCAGCCAGTTGCCCAGCCACCGCGCCAACCGTGCAGTCGTTTTATCGATATGAGATAAATATATGCAATAATATTATAAGTAAATAGGTGTAGATAGGTTACAAGCGCTCAGCAAGTGATACATTAAAATGTGGATAACTAGCCACACTTTTTCATATTTGTCTCTTTTTCACTCGCGATTATTGAATCATGCCATCTCACTTTGACGTCTAAACATACGAATTGATCATGTGTGTATCAGTGTGTCATTTTTGAAAATCGAATTTTGTTTTGGTCACCTATCTACACCATTTTTTTTTATAATATCATTGAATATATGTCCTTCTTCGGAATATTAGCTACCGATTGCATATTAATGTTACCGATATTGATTTGGATGTCAATATATTTATTCGTTTCTGTTAAAAAAAAATATATAATTTTCCAGGTGGCGATATTAATAATTTAGAACTTCCACACATTACTGAAGAGAAAACCGAAGAAATTGTACGTATTTCAGTTTAAATATTCATTTGTCTGTCTTTTCTATACTAAATAATATATCAAATGAAGGTGCAATGCTTGCCGCATTGTTTGCATAATAAAGTATAAGCTCCCGTCATTTTTAGAAATTAGTTGAGTAACGTCCTTGAACTATTTAATAGTTTCTTTAATCAAAGACAAATTATTTTGACTGTACAATACAATTAAATATATAAACATTGGCTTTGCCAATTTTTAAAAAAAATCTATTCTGTAGTTTTTACGTGAAATAGTTCACCATACCTGATAGTTTTATAATACATAGGTTAAGATGTTATAAATAAATATCGTACTTAAGTCTTTCTTTGTTATAATTGTTACTTTTTTTCTACTTTTTGTATAATTTATTTTTGGTTCATTTTCATACTAGGTTAAGCCTCATTGTCGTATTGGGAACATAACCTGTAATGAGACTAGGAAGATTTTTTGGAATATATTAATAAATATTAATCAGTAGGATACATCTCACTTCATTGTTCAATTAATTAATTTGACCGATACACGCATTTATTTAACTAATATAATATTTGACGCAAAAGCAACACGACTTCGTCGATTGCGATTTCATATAAAATTAATAAAAAAATATTGTTTAGGGCATTTCAATACGTTACGTGTTAAGCTAGTAAACCATATTTTTTTTACAACTTTTTCTAATATTTCAGATGGACCACATATCAGTGTTGGATGAGGTACTTCGCATGCTGCTCGAAATCATCAATTCCTGCGTGTCTCATCAACTCGCTTCGAACTGTAACGTGGTATACGCCTTACTACACAAGCGACATCTATTCACACAGCACACGCATCATCCAGTCGCTCAGAATATTGATATGGTAAGGATTTTTTCATGACATCTCCCCTTTCATCTTAAATGAAAGTTAAATTTTAGACAATAATCTATCTCTGTGCTTAGTTTAATTACAATCTGTTATGTAGTTTTTACGCGAAAGAATAACAAATTTTCTTCCGTATTTACAAGCTTTCTCGCTTATAATATTAGTAGAGCTAGCGACCCCAGGTGCTATTTTCCCTTCACCATCAGCCTATAAGTGCCCACTGCTGAGCAAAAGCCTCTTCTCATACGGAGAAGGTTAGAGCATTAATCACCACGCTTGCTCAATGCGGGTTGGCGATGTCAGACTTATAATTATAAATTATAAGTCCAGGTTTTTTCACGATGTTTACCTTCACCGTAGGTCAGTGTTGTCTAGAAAATACATATAACTCGGAAAAAGTCACATTGGTACTTGCCAGGTTTCGAACCCACGCCCTCATGCATGAGAAGCGGGCTGCTCAACCTCCGGCCCACCACGACGTGTTCCCTTATTCCCGGTGAATATATAAAAAATATCTTTTACTTTTAATGGTTTTTTCATTGAATCGTTAGCCTAACAATAACAAACACTTCCCCGCGGCTCCGCCCGCGTATATGTCGATATTACACTTTTCCAATTTTTTTTTTATTTTCACTACACTTTCATTTTTGGACGTCCACGAATAATTTAACACCAAAATTGGCCAAATCGGTTAAGGCATTGTTGAGTTATATCATTACAACGAAAAGTGGCATTATTTTTTATATAATTGTATAGATAACTGACGAATATCTGCATAAGGTTTTTTTAAACTCTTGTCATTCTTTTATAACTTAAGAGTAAATTAACTAACTTATGAACTTTTGTCTGCACGGTTGGTGCGTTGGCTGGGCAACTGGCTGCCGCGCAACGTGTCGCGGGTTCGATTCCCGCACGGAACAACTCTTTGTGTGATCCACAGATTGTTGTTCCGGGTCTGGGCGTGATGTGCATGTGAAATTGTATGTTTGTAAACGCACCCACGACACAGGAGAAAATCCAAGTGTGGGGAAACTTTAAAAAAAAACTTATAAGCAACACAACGGTGGTGCATTTGCGACCACCACGGATGTGGGATTTTGGAGATTAATTTTGTTTTTAATTTGTATTGGCTATCCATCTAAGTAATTAGATTTAGTGTTAAGTATGAGTCGAACTCACGATCGATGATCAGTGGTGTGCTATTGAATATGCTTATGTTCAGTTGTGGATGAAGACGGGCTGAAATTGATGCCCTCTGACATGCTTCTGCTGAGATTATAATCTTCCCCTGCATAAGAAGGTTCATTGTGTACCATTTTTTAATTTCCAGGTCATAGGCTACTTCTCGACACGTCTACAGCGCGTCCAAGAGGGCGCTGGCGGCGATTTAGGCGTTAACGAAGTATTGCAGTGTATCAAAAAGGGAGCCGAGCAGTGGTCTAGCGATAGGTTAAAGGTAATATTTGATATTAACCATAGAATGAGCTCTGTAGGAATCGTAGTTTTCTGAAAAAAGTTGTAAAATGGGCTACTAGTACATATCAATTCTTTTCTTTCGACGTTACGCCTATAGTGGCGGTGGTGCAGCCTATGATGAAGACATGTACCTATTTGATCAATAAGTAAATAAATAAATAATCAGAGTATTCTTCAGAAGACACAAATTTAGGAAGAGTAGAGTATTCCACTTCGCCATTTCTATTACATTTTCAGGCCTAAAGCAGGAAAAGGAACGCGGGTTTTTAGTCAGTAAAAGTCTGACATTCTCTCTCGCCTTTCCCTGGGCGGGAGAAATCATTTGAAAATTTTCCCTTTGCAAAAAAAACCGTTCTGTAATGGTTAGGGTCTGGCGAAATCAAACTGCACATTTAACGCAAGAATAATTTATTCTTGATTTTGTACATTTATAAATCATCATTTTCTTTTACAGAAATTCCCTGACTTGAAATTCCGTTACGTGGAAGAGGAAAGACCAGAAGAATTCTTCACTCCATACGTCTGGAGTTTGGTGAACTCTTGTGGTGGGGTGTACTGGGCCAGTGAGGGTGGAGCGAGGGCCCTGGGAGACCTCCTCGCCTGCTGATCATCACCCAGATGTAATTTCGTGGATATTATGATCAGGACTCTTATGTGCCGGTGGTACTACGAAATGTAGTTTAAATTTGATTTTTATCCGAAAACGAAGTTTTTTTAGCTGTATTGTTAATAACATTATTTATGTATCTTTTTTAGTTTATTAGTGAAAGTTCTCTTAAGGGGTGATTGGCTTTAAAATGTTGACAAAAAATTTTAGTATTTCAGCATTTCACAGCTAAAAAATCGTACAACTTTATTGAGAGATATAAAATTAATCGTGATTAACAGCTTACTGACTGAAATAGTTGACAAGTTAACTCGACTAGTTTCAAGCCACTTTTGGGGCTCATATTCATTAGCAGCATTTCGCGGACCACTACGCAACAAACATCATGCCAACCATATATAGAATTAATTTAAAAGTATTTCAAAACATTGCATACCTATCCATGTCTTTAGTTATAGAAAGACTTTATATTCTTGTATTATTCCATGTCTTTTAAGGCAAATTAATTGTCAGGTCACATGGCGGTAAAGAACCGGTGTCGCCTATTGACACTCGCTATAGAAGTTACAAGTACATTGCCAACTTTTTTGGGATATGGAGATTGGGGGTAGGAACAGGAGAGAGAATTCAGTTACAAATCACTCAATAACAGACTTTCACTAGTAAATGTGTGCCTCTAAATCTGTCTGTCTGTATCTTTACTAATATATCTATACCTAAAATGTTAATATATACATTATTCTTTACTAATTAGCTATTATATTATCATTTGATTCCAAACTGTATTTTTCTTTTTATCGCTTCTTTGGTCGAAGACAAATTTATTGAAACAGCTTTACCGCCAGGGTTGCTAGTAATCCAAACTAATATTATAAATGCGAAAGTAACTCTGTCTGTCTTTTCTTCACGTCTAAACTACTGAACCTATTTGTGTGGAATTTGGTATAGACATAGTTTGGAACTCAACAAACATAGGATAGTTTTCAATCAAAACATCTGCAGGAAGTCACCATTCCACGCGAAATAAGTCGCAAAAGCTAGCGGTCTAATGAACTAATGGATTAACACCGTTTAAGATAGCTACAGTGATTGGACGGACATGATCTAACGCTATATTAGTATTATATGATGAAAAGAAAAAACAGTAGCCCCCATTGGTATCATATATTTTAACTATAACAAAACAACAAAAATGTTACCTTAATTGCTTTTATTGCACATAAAGTTGAATGGGTATAAAAATAATCTTATTACAATGTATATAATATATAATAATGATATTGTTATCTTATATTGAATATAAAACAAAACAAAATTTAGTTTGTAACACTATAACTCCTGAACTGCTAGAGCGGTTTTGATGAAATACCTTTATAGAGACAAACTGGACTGGACATGTCTCTTATTAAAAATGCGAATGAAGTCGTGGGTAAAACCTAGTATAACATAACGTCTGATATATATGACAAATACTAAACTAAATTATCTATAATTCTTTACAAACAACTACATGTTTGTAAAAAAAATATAATTATTGTCAATTTTCTATACTGAAATGGTCGCGTATGCATATTATATGTAAACAAACAATATTAATATCATCATCTACAATTACATTTTTAAATGTTACAAAAAAACAATGAAATAACATTTAAAAATATAAAAATGTATTATTACTATTTCGAAATTGTTAATTATACCAACTAATTTGGAAATTTGTGGTTATTTAAACCATGTTATATGGGATACACAGAGAAAAGTTAGTGATAAATTTAATAAGTGCATTTAATTTTCTGCCTTAAATTAATATAAGGCAAACTGTCTACAATAACATCTGAAACTTCCAGTAAATTGTAATTAATATTTATTTCACTAACGTAAATATTCATGATGAATAGTGCCTTTTCTTGAATCTGAATTTCAATATTCATATCTTCTCAATTCCCTTCACAGCGTCTAAATAACTTGTTTGGCTTAACTAAAACATGTCTAAAGATATTCGTCGTATGCAAAATGCTGATGCTGAAAGTCAAAGTAAAAATTAATTATTCCAACTAAACCATACATTTTGAAACGTCAAAATAGAATAGTAGTCTGTCAGACTGTTCGTCAGTGAAGCTAGGTGCTCCTGTGTTGCTTCTGCGTTTACAAACATAAAATTTCAAATAAACATCACACCCCAAACTGGAACAATTTGTGAAATACAAAAGAATTATTCCGGACAACAACTCTGTGTGAAGACTGAATCTTCACCATACATATATGTGCCTACCATTAAGCAAAAACCTATTTTCACAAGGAGAAGGTTTGACCATTAATAACCACTTACCTAAGGAGAATAAAAAATTCAAACTTATAATTACGAATTATAAATCTATTCCGTTAGGACTAAATAATCGTAAAGGATCCATATTATCTGTTAATTATAATAACAGAAACTTACTGAGATATTGTGAAACAGATTCCTTGTATTTTGATTCATTACTTACATCTTTAATTTTCAAATTTAACATTTTATTGTATTGTCTAAGTACATACTTAGTAATGATAATTGGAAAAGAGGAATAAAATTATACGCCTATATAATAAGTACCAAATTGTGGGTCAAAGTTGGCTAAAGTAATTATTATGTATGATTATTTTAAGGGTGATTCTTCGAAAAATGTTTACATTTGTTTAATAATTTATTAGATTTCCGATAAAATAACTTAAATTTTTTCTTTCGATATTCTTGTGTATATCTAAAATACAAATTGATAGTATAAGTTCAAATACCGGATAAGTTCGGGTTACTTTGACCCTGCGGGGTAACTTTGATCCAAACCCCTTAACCAATAATAACTGAGAACCAAACATATATTCGTTTTTCATTGGTTCGAAAATTTTGATCAAAGTTACCTCCCAGGGTCAAAGTAACCCGAACTTACGGTAGTTTTGTTATGTATAATAATATTTCCCATAACTTTTACTTTTCCCATAACTGTTTAATAAAAAAAAACATGTACATATACATTTAAAAATTTACAATGGACACAAATATGATAATAGTAGATTTCATTACTGTATTTGTAAGGGTCATTTCATATAGCGGAGAGTTGAAGAGCGTCGGAATGTAAATCTAAAATGTCACAGCAAATTAACCATTATATCTACAAAAATAAGGAACACTTTCATTTTTTGAGGTAAATGAAAATGTCGAAAATGAATATTATTAATGCTGACTCTCATGTGATGGGCTATTAAAGCCCCAAGTCGGCCTGACCGGAGTGACTCGGAGAGAGCCAACTTAGAACCATCAAAGTGTTTTGTTTAACCCCATGAAAAGGTTACCAAAGCCATGCTTGTGATTAGTTGATCCATCTGGTCATTTCCCTATTCTGTTCTAAAACCCATTAAAAGGTTTTATGACATAGTGTGACAAAGGCGTAGACGGATTACCTGACCTTAAGCAAGTAGGTCATCCATGAATACTCGCAACATCGGAGGTTTAACCAGCAGTTTGTCGGCGTTTTGGGGTATTGAGGGATTTAGAAATTGGGATTGGGAGTCCGGAAACTGCACTCACACAACAATTAATAGTGCAAGATATGTTTCACGTCACGACGGTTTTCTGTAAGGTCGTGGTATTACTCGGCCCACTCTTGCCAAAGCTTGGCTTTTCTATGCTTTCAAATTATCAACAATTTGGTGTATTTCGACTCTACCCAAGTATGAATTGACCCTAAAATAAACGATAGATTGTATGAAATGCAATATAGGGTAATAATAAATAAATAAATAAAACTGATATTTAATTGTTTTGTGTTTTATTATTGATAATCCTACTCCAAAAATTTTATCAATTTATGTAGGTTTACCTACGGTATAGTCACAATAAGTGCGTAAATCTAGCTTGTTTCTTACATCTAACTACCACACGATTGTCTATGTATCACCGAAACATAGATCGGCAGATAATGCTCATTGAATTAAGTTCGCCCTATGTACCGAAGAGTATGTAACCACTACGTTTACTATGTACAATTAATTTGAATGTGCACGAAGTTTTAAATAAATAAAATAAATGTCTCCCATTGTTACCTAATACCTAAATAATAAGAATCAGTTCATATCTAGTTGCAAATGCGTAATTCCAGAGTAGACTAATCACTAAATAGTATAAAATAAAGGTTTTCTGTCCCTATAAGTGTGCTTAAATCTTTAAAACTTTGCAACTTTATGTGGTTAGTAATGTTAAACGCAGGTAACCTTGTAATGAAAAGGTTCCTTAATATTGCTGTGAATATAAAAAAATATCAGTAAGTACTCATCTATGCATGGTTTCTTGTTTTCTTTTGCAGCACTCACTAAGTTGTGTAGATAAATTCATTGGCTTAACTTCCCTTCACGCAAAAAGATATTAAGTAATATAAAGATACAAACACAGCAGCATAAAGTTTGACATGAAAAGATTTAAATTTCCCGCCAATGGTTTCAGCGTCATAGACAACACCACTTGTCGACTACGCATGCGAATTTATAAAATTAATATTTTCCTTGTATTCGTCCTTCAGATGATACACGTTGAATATTTTATAATTACAATATTTGTGACGTGTTTTCTAGTATTCGCGATTAATTACATAAACGGATAAAATATGAAAAAGTATAGACAACATTTTTACTTCCTTCCAATTTGAAATCAAGTCAAAATCAATCGACAAAGACAAGTATGTATTGGTGTTGTGTATGTGCGTAAACAAGACAGGTTTGCAAAAAAATAAAAATATTTTCGCAAAGTTTTCATTACAAAGTGTATAAACTTCTGAAAATCAATTTGTGTATCAAATTAGTGTTCCCAAATAATAACAACTGAGTGAAATACTTCGTCGCAAGTTTTTGGTAAGTAAATATAATGTTTTTTGCTAATAATGTCGGAATATTATTTATTATTACTGGAATTGTTATGGTTTTACTGCGTAATTATAGTATTTTGCGTGTCTTCAGTATGTTTTCTGTGTAATGTATTTATTATTTGGCATTTATCAGTGTCGCACAACTTATGATTTTATTTTTATTATTATAGGTACAATAATCTTTCTTTGCACAATATTTATTTAATTTAATATTTTTTATTTGGTTCGTTTTGTATTTTCTGTGTATTTTAGAATAGATCTCAAGGTAAATATATTCTAAATTATTCTTCACCTAAGTACTATTAGGTAAATAA